CCTTCAGTATCGCCTATTCATCTTCTTGAACTTCTCATAGTGATAGTCATCGGTGGCCTTCTCATTAGCGGGACGCTTGCGGTTAGGAGGAGACCCTAAGAAAGAAAAGAACGGGTAAGTCTGGGTGCCATTCTGGAACCCACCTGTTCCACAGAGACAAGGACCATGCTGGAGAACACACTTCCTAGAGTCACCATGGGGCCGAACACATTGAACAGCAACACAGGAGAGGCTTGGAAAATACTTGTTTCAAAGCAGGAAAAGAAAAAGCCAGCTAAAACATGCGACATAAGCATTAACTAAGGTGAGAGGTAACTCGTGGTTGCTGTGAGGGTAAACACTGTGACACTGATGTGTCAAATGTGATGATGGTGACCCATAGTGGGCAGTGTTTGGTGAAGCTCCTGAATTAAAATGGGCTTGGGAGCAGGAGTGGCATCCACTTCCAAAATAGCTTGCCTCCAGAAACTCTAAGAATTCAGAGAAACGATGGAAGTTATACAAGTGTTCAGGTCTTTTGTTCATAGGGTCGTTATGAGTTGTCTACGACTCGACAGGCACTTAACAACAAGGTGAATATATTGCCATCAAATGAATTCCAACTCACAGTGGCCCCATGGGACAGAGCAGATCTGCTCCTGCAGGATCTTCAAAGCTGTAACTGGTATAGGGGCAGATTGACACACCTTACTTCCACAAAACCACCAGTGGGTTTTAACTGCTAACTTTTGGTTGGAGCCAAGTGATTTAACCACTGCCAGAGCTTTTTAGGTGAACAACACTAGGTAATCCTTCCCTTCAATCCACACAACTACTCTAGCTCAGGGCACGTCACCATCCCTGCTCTGCGGGATGAGGTGACTGCTATAAGGCCACTAAGAAAGTGAAGGTCAGCTGAGACGACGGCAATCACTCAAAATTCTTCAATAAAGAATTTCCAACATAGCAGTTAAGAGATACACCAATAGACTAATTTTTCAGAAACCAGCAAATATAACATTTCTTCACTGACTGAAAAGATGACACCATCTGGTGCTGTGAGTGTGTGGGGCAAGGAAACCATTAGATGCAGTCAATGGGAGAAAAGATGCACATCACACGTCTAGAGCACAGCTCGGTGAAACCTCAGGATATGGCCTGAGGACACGAGGTAGTTAAGAAAGGTCACGTATGAAATAGGGAAAAATGGGAAATAACGTAAATGTCCAATAAGAAGGAAATGGTTAAACTACTGCTAAACAATAGAACATGATGTTGTTATGAAAATGATAACACGGTATTGTACATATGGAAACTGTTGAACTGGTATTTCATTTTGCTGTAATTTCCACCAAAAGCAAAATCAAATAATGCTAGAATAACTTACTGTCACAAAGAGACATGCACAGTGTACTGCCAAGCAAAAATTTTAAAGATATTCTATTAAGCTAGCATACTATGTATATAGGCTTTATATAAATATTTGTATTTGTATAACATCAGAAAGTTTGTTTAAAAAAATTAACAACTATTAATCTTTAAGTGGTGAAATTGAGTACATTTTATTTTTTCACTATAAAGCAAGTTTATTAAAAATATGGAACACTTCATGAATTTGCATGTCATCCTTGCACGGGGGCCATGCTAATCTCCTCTGTACCAATTTTAGTATATATATAGCACTAAAGTATATGTGCTGCCAAAGTGAGCACTTAAAATTTTTTTTTGAGGGGTACTAATATGATTGCAAATTATTTTTTGCAGAACATAAAATCTGCCATTTTAACTACTGTGAATTATACAATTCAGTGGCATTAATTTCATTGACAATGTTGTGCACCCACCACTCTTCCTGATTTACAAATTTTTTCATCATCCCAAATAGAAACTCCACACCTATTAAGCAGTAACTCCATATTAGCACAAGATTTCCAAGTCTGAGCTATGTTGGATGAAGCATGCATCAGACCTTCATTCCTTTGTATAGGTGTATAACCTCTTATGGCTTGTATACATCACCTTCTGTTTATCTATTCAGCTGCTGCCTTTAATTCATTTCTGCGTAATGAAGTTTTCTAATTTCTTCAATCGCTACCATATTAAAACCCCACTAAATCTCCAAAGATAATTCATGGGGTTCTACTACTCTGTTCATTTAAAAATAGGGAAAGTGAGGCTTAGAGAGGTGAAGAATGTGGGTACAGGAACCTAGCTACTCCCAAGTAGCCCCACTCTACCCCTGTGTTCCCAGAGCTGGAGCCCCCCACAGCCTCTGCTGTACTCACGCTCGGGCTCCGGCTTCTCCGTGTCACCCACTCTCAAGGGCCGGGCTTTGGGCTCTTCTTTGTTTCTCCGAATGGGCGCATTGAGCTCCTCATGATAAAATCGGTTATGCTGCACGTAGTTCACAGCCATATTGGTGGGCACAAAGGATGATGTCTCACTGTCTTTCTTCTTGTTCTGCTGCTCTGCCAGCAGTCGGGCCTTGGCATCCTCAGTGGAAATGATATTTTTTATTTTGGCACTAGAGCAAGAAAAGTCAGACCATGGGTTAGGGTATAGCACATTGGGTACTCAAACAGAAGTGACTGGTAAGGCTGGCAGCCCACCACTGCACAAGGAAATAACCTTCCAGGGCAGAGTTCCCTAGAGCTCTATATAACCATATTCTCATGCAAAGATTCTCCTTTCCTGGTCAAGAGGAAATCAAGTCTCAAAGGAGTTCAGTGAGCTGTCAAAGGTCAGGAAAGTAGTCTACCAACTTCCCATTACATGCAAAGATGATTCTGAATATTGATTTTCCTACATGGTAATCCTGCATTAATGCAGATATTTTATGGTTAAAATCAAAGGAAGATCATAAGCTAAAGCATTGCTTGAATCTTTAACATACCTTCTGTCAGATAAAATAGAAGACTAAAAAGTCCTGATTCGAACAGTTGAAAGGCTGTGATAAAGATTAATCCTTTGCTTTCAGTAGTCAGGGTCTCTAAAGTTTAATACCCTGACCAAGACTTGCAACCCTGAGATTCCTGCAGCAAACATCTCATAACACCCAGAACTATGAACTTTCTATTTGTGAGTTTCCAAGGAAGTAAGTAAGAAATGGCCCTCTTAAATTTTAGTGGGAAGCAGAGTTCTCTTTCTTTTGCCTAAGGTTAGTGGGAAGTGAGACTGTGACCCTGAAACGCACTCAATGCCAAGGTCGACTTCGGGGATGCCACTCAGCATCTGGTTGGAAAGCATCTCCTCCGTCTTCTTGGCTGAGGAGACGCGTATATTTTCTGGAAGTTCATAGAGACAGTCCTCTGCATTCTTCGGCTTTATTTTCTGTTCCTCATGTTCCACAATCCCTTTCCTCTTTTTCAGCTCTGTTTCAATATATTTCATCCTGAAATGAGAAACACATAGACCTTACTAGGGAAGACCATGAAATGTAGAATGTCTGTTTTGTAAATTAGAGAAACTTAATATCAGCAGTCAAAACCAGGCCAGGAGCAGACTGTGGAACAGATCATCAATTACTCACATGCAAGTTCAAACTAAAGCTGTGAAAACAAAAACCAGTCCACAAGCACCAACATATGTCCTTGAGTCTACTGCACAGGTATTTAAAATTATCTCATCAAGAGTAAGTTTGAGGCATTGAACACTTATGATCAAGGACAAAATGAATTGTAGAATGACACCAACATGATCACCCATGAAGAAAGCAAAGTCATTACAAAGACAGGGGAGAAAGAAAAGATCAGAACAGACTCTGAAAGTCACACTCAAATGCTGAGAAGCCAAAACAAGAGAAGAACTGCCAAAGTAAAAGGAGATGAACAGAAGTTTTTCAAAGGGCAGCTCTAGAAGACAAAGCAAAATGTGCAAAAAGCTGGAACTTGTTTGGCATTTCTCAAGTGAAGACTGCTGAATCTTCTATGGACTGTCAAAATGACAAACAAATATGTCTTGGAAAAGGTGCAGGCTGGGTGCTTCTTGGAGGCAAGGATAGTGAAACCTAGTCTCACGTACTTTGGGCACATTTTTAAGAGGCCAGTCCTTGGAAAAGGACATCATGCTTGGAAAGGTAGAGGATCAGCAAAGGGAAGGAAGACTCTTAACAAGACGGACTGACACAGTGACAGTAACAGTGGGCTTGAATATATCAGAGATGGTAAGGATGGCACAGGATAGGGCAGGGTTCAGATCCACTGTTCAGAGGGTCACTATGAGTCATAGTTAATGGCACTTAACAATACAAGTAGTAGTAAAAAACCCCAAAAACAATTCAGCAGGGAGTTTCACTGCTAATCCAAAGGTGGTGCCTCTCTCATGGTTCAAATCTACCAGCAGCTCCTCAGGAAAAGGATAGGCAATTTTCTCCCATGGGATTTATAGCCCTCAGTCACGAATCAAAAGGCCAATGCTTAAAAACCATCTGCCCTGTGGCAGAAAAGACTTGGAGATCTGTTCCAGTAAAAACTACAGCCTAACGGAGCTCTGGTGGCCTAGAGGCAAGAAGCTGCACTGCAATTCCAGAGGCACAGGGTTTGAATCCACCAGATGCTCTGTTGGAGAAGGAGGGCCAATCTCCTCCTGTACCAGTCAGATCCGATTTGACGGTACAAACACAGAAAATAAAATAAGATTAAAAAAACATTTAAAATTACAGCCTAGGAAACCTGATGGTACAGTTAGACTGTGTCCTACAGGGTTGCAATGGATCAGCTTATGACACACATCACATCACCATTAGCAAACAAGCTAGCTTTCATCAGTCCATGGAGAAATAAGAAGGCTAAAAAGAGCTTGAGTTTGTCCATTCAAGCTACAAATCTTCACTTAAAAGACAAGTCTACTTTCTATGAAGATGGCGCCAAAAGTGAAGAAGGAAGCCCCTGCCCCTCCCAAAACTGAAGCCAAAGTAAAGGCATTAAAGGCCAAGAAGGCAGTCCTGAAGGGCATCCACAGCCACAAAAAAAAAGATCTGCACGTCACCCATCTTCGGGTGGCCTAAGACGCCGAGACTCCGAAGGCAGCCCAAATACCCCTAGAAGAGCAAACCCAGGAAAAACAAGCTTGACCACTATGCCATCATCAAATTTCCCCTGACCACCGAGTCAGCCATAAAGAAGATAGAAGATAACAAGCACGAAATTAAACAAGCTGTAAAGAAGCTCTATGACACGGATGTGGCTAAGGTCAACACTTTGATTAGGCCTGGTGGAGAGAAGAAGGCCTCTGTTTGACTTGCTCCTGACTATGATGCTTTGGATGTTGCCAACAAAATTGGGATCATCTAACTGAGTCCAGTGGGCTAATTCTAAATATAAATTTTTCTCACAAAAAAAAAAAAAAGACAAGTCTATATCATAAGATTATCTTCTGTGGTGTTACAAGCAAGGCTCTTTGAATAGAGAAAGCTTATGGAAGATGGCAGGTATGTGTCTAATAGCAAAATAAGAAGAGGGCACGTCCATATTTACTACCACAACCTAACATTCTAAAATCTTCCGTTCCAAAGAACTATTAGGAAATTTTCAAAGTTCTAGAGCCTGGGAGATGGTGAGAGCAAGGCCAACTTCGATGCCTGGAAAATGACAGCATGTTACCTGTGATGAAACATCCTAGACCCCATTGAGCTGGATGCCACACCACCTGTTACTCATGGACATGGACTTACATGTCTGCATCCTCATCCCTTCGGTTGGTTTCTGCAGAAAACGATGTTCCCAAATGGAGATCTTCCTCTTCACTGATCCTAAATGAAGAGAACAGGGGTAAGTGCTAGGGTCAGATAAAGGGAAAAAGGACAGTGTGATCCTGTTTATGTATGAAAGAAAAAGATACACATACAGTATGTAAACGGGAAAAAACATCTAGTAATCAGTGCATGTAAACTGCTAACCTCTGAGGATGCTTCTGGGAAATGAGATCTTTTTCATTCGTTTTTATACTGATTAAACGTGCTTCCCTCCATCCCTTTTTTAAACCAAACCAAACCTAGATTTTGTGTCAAAAAAAGTCTTTAAAGAGTTTATTCACTTCATTTACGCTAAAGGTGAATTTACAGGCCAGCGTGTGCTGTACTTACTTATCTTTGCCCCTCTCCTTCAGTTTCTTCATGTCCACCATACCACCTGTCTTCATCTGGAAAGGATCATCCTGCAGAAAACAAACATAGCTTAAAAGAAGCATCTACAAAATTGGCAGCGAAATTTCTTTTTAAAGAAAAATAAACCCAATCATTCAGGGAAGAGCAGCCACATCTTTTCACAGCTAAGGGAGGGCCCCTCAACTTACCACTAGTGTAGTCTCTTCCTGTACTTTCTCCCCCACCAGCAGGGCCACAGCACTGAAAAACAAAAACAAAAAGAGAATACTTCAGAAATCAGAGGGAAGTGTACTCAGGAAGTCTGCATGTTATATTAGTGCAAGGATGAAATAAGAAGTGTGGGCACCAAAGCTAGCTGGGAAAGTCTACACAAATAAAATAAGAGCTCAATAAATGCTCTAGCTGCTAGAGCAGGTGGCAGTGAAGTGGTTTATTTATTTATTTTTGCAACGTTATTTGGTATTCTCTTGGTTTGGCCATGTTCTAAGATTTTGCCTTTTGAGAAAATGCAGCTGAAGACAGGTCCCAAAACAGAGGAATAATTAATAAAAAATAAGAGAGAATAGTAACTGGAAAGACCATTAAATGTAAACTCATTCTCAAACTCCATGCTGTTGAGTTGGAATCAACTCATTCATGACCCTCTGCTGGGTTTTCAAGGCTGTAAATCACAGGGAGGAAACTGCCTATCCCTCTCCCTAAGAGCAGAGGGAGGATTTGAACAGCCAGAGAGTTAACAGTGTTTGCGTAAGCAATGCAACTCTCTACAGGCTTTGTCACCAGAGCTCCCTAAAAGGTTAACAATTATCACCCAAATCACAATATAAAGAGAAATGTTTACACTGGGTTTGGTAGAGCAATTTCTTGATTTACACTTTTCTAAATCTTTCTATCTCTTAACAATCAATAGGCATTTCACCATTAGCTGAGGGTAACAAGGACAGTCAACCCCAACCCATACACTAAAGACCTGTTTCTGTGCCTCTGGAGTAAACATCAAGACCACACTTTGCAAGATTGTTCAGAGCACTTCATGAGAAACTGGTTATAGCAAAGGAATTTAAGAAACAAAGAAACAAACCATTCACTTAGTGAGAGATGCCAGTGATCAATAATGAAAATCTGACAGACAAGGATAAATTGGTGATGGAAGTGTAGCAGCTCAACAAAGAGGCGACACTGAAAAGAATGCTGGTATCCAAGTGTTGTGAAGTGATTATGTTGAAGGAAGATCTTGTGAAGACCGTTTAATAAAGGCCATTCCACAACACAAAAATCCCTCCAAGGAGCTCAAAAGAGGCTGTGTAAGTAATTTCATGAAAAATTATTGGATTAACCTGGGGCTTAATGACAATACTAATTTGTCCTCCTACGTGGTAATAGTTTTAAACATGTATCTTAATTTTTAAACCTATAAACAAACTCTGAATGAAAATTGGGATGCTAAGAAAAAAATAAATCACACATTACGAGTTAACGTTTCAAGTCCCTCTCAAGGCAGCGTAACTTGTAGTATTTATAACATGGGTGGGGGCGTGTCTGCTATCTCTGTCTCTCCCAATCCAACCCCTCATGTGTACTCACCTCACCCCGTTGGGCCTTTTCCTCAAGTTCTGCACCTCTCGTGTCTCTTCCAGTTTTAATCTAAAGAAAGGTAAAGCATGAGTTATTTTGCCTGGTATCCCTTAGGGGCAGCCAACAAACAGCTTGGATAAACACTGAGCCACTGCCGTACCACACTCACAAGAGATCGATCTGGCGCCTAATCTAACTGGGAGTTCAGTCCCACAGTGCCTCCCAGGAGCACCTCTCCCAACCATGTGGGCTTGGGCCAGGGGCATCATCCCTACTAGGCTCAATTTTTTCTTCTTTAGAAATGGACAACAAATTCAATTCAACGGCGGTGTCAACAAGACCGCTGTCCACTAGCGAGACCCTCAAGCCTTCCAGCCCCGGGGAAGTCTCCTCTGACACTCACCGAACCTCTTCTGAATCCTGTTCATCTTCCTCGGACTCCGAGTCGACGCGCCGCCGGCGGAAAACCTTTCCAGGAGCCGGCATGTTGGCACCGCTCCGCGGTGGTGCGGCCGCACTGCTGCGCGATACCCAAGCTGCTTCCGGCGCGCTCAAGTGTGGTCAGAGCGCCAGGCCCGCTAGGTCCCGCCCCCAACTCACTGCTCGCTGGGCACGCCCCCAGCACTACGTCAGACCCTCCCGATTGGACTGTTGAGGGAGAGGAGGCGGGGCACGGTCGGCCGAGCCCCCAGACCCTGCGCGGCTCTGCCGAGGGCGCGCTTGACTGACAGGCGGTGGCTGCGCGGTTACGACGGCAGGTGAGTTACCGGCAGCCGCTTGCTGCTTCAGGGGGCCGGGCCCCTGGGAGAAGAGGCCTCTCCAGCCCTGCTCCAGACCGGCGGGGGCCTGGCCCTGCCAGGTGCACCAGATGTCGTGGCCAGGTGAGCGGAGCTTGGATTCTCCGGCCAGCGCTGCCCCCTTCCCTTGCGACCACTGCCCAGGGTGGTCCTCTGGGTCCCTGTAGTCGCTTTTTGTAAACTGCTTGCGGCCCGAGCGCTCTGCAACTAGGGCTGCCCATCATTTGGTTTTTACCCAGGCTTGACCCGGCGTTGAAAGCATACGTGTGACGTCTTGGGGCGCTGACTTATTTTTCCCCGGGGGGGGGTTTGGGCCCGGTTTTTCTTTAGGGACAAAAGGTAATCACTTCTCCCAAGCTCTGGTGAATCGAAGTCCTAGAGCCCACTGGCCCCGCTTATAATGGCCTCCGACCACTCCTCCCCGAGGAGAGGAGCATCTGACGCTTTGAACCCTCTGGAGGGGTTTGAGTCCGGAGTGCTCTTCTCGCTGCGTCGGATGCTTGTCCAATTCCTGCCTGGGCCATCAGGGGCCTTTTTTTCCTGCTTGGTCAAAAGGACAGTCTTTGCTTTCTTACCATTTTGAGAATGCTGTAAAGATTAAGTTTATTTGGAAAAACACACTAACCAGTGCTTAGAATATAAATGCATGAATAATGTCTCAATATATGAGGCTTAAAGAACCACCTTAAATAATGGATTGTTTTCATTTTATCACTCTAAGTCCATCCTTTCCTTATAGAGACTTGCCTCTTATGAAACACTGTGCTAAGCATTCTCTATCTTTTCAAATTCTTCCAATAATCTTAAGAAGTGGATTCGATTATTATTTTACATTTTATAGAGGATGATACTGCGGCTCAGAAAAGCACTTACGACCTAAAGTTACACAGTTAGAAGGTGGAGCTGGGCTCCATGGCATAGTAAAAGTTCAGCAAATGCTGCTGCAGCTGCTGTTGAAACAGCTCACTGACTGCGGAGAGCTCTGGTGGCCTAGTCCTTAGGGAGTTATTAGAATCCAAAAAGGTCAAGCAGTCAAAAAGGTCTTTAGCAGTTCAAATCCACCAGCAGCTCCATAGGAGAGAGATGGACAATCTCCTCCCATGCGATTAAGAGCTTGGGGGTGGGGAGGGATAGTGAACACCCTGATAGAGAGTCAGCTATGAGGCAGTTTGACCCAGTGGCAATGAATTTTAGTTTTGCTTTTTGTTATTTAGGTTTTGCCTGAGGAAGGAATTAATGGAGACTCTTTTTGGTTCCCTTTTGTGGAACACCTTCCTGGATGATGCAGGGAGGCGTGCTGGCATCTCCTACTTTTCTCTGGAACAGTCTCTTCTCTTTCTTGGATTGGGACAAATAGTAGACTTGAATTCTTGGAAGAAGCCCTCTGGGTTTGATCAAAGGCCATATATTACAGCTCCTTGTCCGCTGAAGGAAAGGCTCTGTGGAACTCAGGGAGTGAGCGTACTGAGGTCTGCTGCCCTGGCTTCTGCAGCTTTCATCCTCTCAGAGGTGGCTCTGAATTTGCCCATCTGGCAGGCCTCTCTTCCACAACACCAGCTTCATGAAGGTACCAGGCACTACTCACAGGCAGTTTCTGGAGGGATAGGGACATTTCAAGACTTCCTTATTTAATGTCCTATAAGGAGCATGTGATCTAATTGAGCTGTCTGCCCACCCTGGGCGCGGCAGGAGTGCCCAGTACACTCACCACCTGGACTGTGGCAGATCTGACTGAAGTGTGTGTAGCACAGCACTTGCCCACTGATAATGCTCAGAAAATAGGAGCTGTGTATCTGGCAGTAACTGCATTGAGGGATGCAGATCCTCTAAGTCTGTCAAACCTTTCTGGAGAGGCACAGGAAATTTGGGTCCTAGTGAGTTCAAAGCTGAGCCTTGGCTTGGGAGTTTGGTTGTTTAAGAAAATGTAAGATTTGGGTTGGTATGCTGTCTCTTATCTGAAGCCAGATGTTTGCTCATTTCAGAGTTCAGCAGGCTTAAGTAATTAAGTCCAGGTAATATTGGGATCCAGCAAAGTGATACAATTAAAAACCTGGCACAGATATTCAGTAAAGGTTGGTTTGTCTTATCCACTTATTCAGCATATATTTATTAAGCCCTTAGGAGAAACTCTGGTGGCGTAGTCTGTAGAGAGCTGTGTTGCTAGCTGAAAGGCCATGTTTCCCTGGCAGTTCAAATCCACCAGCCACTCCTCGGAAGATAGATGGGCTGTCTTCTCCCATGAGATTTACAGCCATTGAAAACCTGCTAGAGGGTTAGCTGTGAGTTAGCAATGATTGCGCGCGCGTGCGTGTGTGTGTGTGTTGTTGTTGATTGTCGTCAAGTCGATAGATATAGATATGTACTTTATATTTGGAGTCAGTATTGTTCTAGGTGCTTGAAATGTCCAGTTGAGATAGATATAGACATAGATGTAGATGTAGATATAGATAGATATATAGATATAGATACACACACGTATACTTTATATTTGGAGCTGATATTGTTCTAGGTGTTTGAAATACATTAGTGAGCAAACCTGAACTAGCAGTTACTTTCTAATAACATTTTAAAAGCAGAAGGATTTGATAGGAGGAGATGAGCACCATGAAAGAGAGAAAAGATAGTGAGGCAAGAGAAATCAGGAGACAGAAGAATGAGCTGCATGTTTAAATTAGTAGATCCTAGCTGGTGACTTAGTTGGTGATAGAACAAATGCAGCAGTGTACTGAGTGATAGATTCTGAGTTCCAGTCCTGGTTTTGCCAGCTTGTTGTGTGATTTCAGCCGAGAACCTTCCCTTCTCTGAGCCTCTCTTCCCCCACCAGACTTCCTGCTTTGCCATCTACTAGCTGTGTGACCTTTGATGTGACTGCAGCTCTGTGATTTTAGCTGTCTTCAGACCTGAATTTCTAAGTTTGAGTCTCTCAATGACCTGAGTCAGTCACAGCTTCCAGACTTTCTAACCCCTAGGCATTGCCAGCCTGAGATAACTCCAAACCTATGCCCTGTCCAGTGAACTGACTCTCATGGAGCCCAGAACTAAAGTACCAGTATTTGGACTATGCAGAGAAATTATCCTAGACTTCAAGGAATTTAAATCAAGTAAAAGTATACTCTGTGAGGGGGCTCTGGTGGCTTGGTGGTAAGGAGTTGCACTGCCAACCCAAAGATATGCGATTCAAATCCACCAGCTGCTCACAGGGGGAAAGATAGAAGGGCTCCTCAGTGCAGTGTACTGCCTCTGAGAATTCAGTGGAGGGTCATCTGCATGTCTGTTCCAGCCTGATGGTACCTAACGGCAACAGACATAACCCTGTTAAGAGGGACTCAGAAGAGCCTCTTGCCAGTGACTGCCGTTGGAGTCTCGGGATTTGGATTAGAAAAGGTCATAATCCTCCCCAGAGCAGATTGGAAGGCTGTGTAGCTGCTTGCCACGAGAATGCTGAATCCTGTGTAGTCAGCCGTGGGTTTGAATCCTGGCTCAGCCACTCAAAATATGTGTGACCACCAGCCAGTTATTCTACCTCTCCGAACCTCAGTTTATGTAACTTTAACTGGTGCTAGTGATGATGTCTACTTCCTGAGAGGGTTGTGAGAATTCAGTGAGATAATATGTGTAAGAGTTGGAGACATGTATATTCTCTAGGAGTGGGGAAGGCTGAGTAAAGCTGATGAGTACATGGGGCCTAAAATGGTGTAGAAAACGAGAATGTGTTAGAACAGGGGCCAGGATTGGGCGTTCTTCAGAAGTCATCAGAAGGATGGTTGGCTTTTAGGGAGTAAGTCTGGGTTATGGGTTATGTTTGGGAGTTCAGGGAAAGGGAGTTGTTTGGTGGTCCACTAAAGAAAAGGGAAACACTGCATGTGTAGAGAGGTGTGGACACATGCATGCATGAAGGGGTAGGTGTGTGGGGATGGGGGTGACTAATGTGGTGAGAACCATGGATTCAGAGAAGGAGGTGACGGCACCTTCCATAGGTGGGAGGCTCAGCACTGGTGCAACTCTGGTCCTTCAGGAAAGAGGAGATGCAGCCAGAACCTCTGGAAAAGTGATGAGTAACATTCACTCAAGGCCTGGCCTCAGCCACTGGTTCCGGGACTGCTTGTGCTGAGTGTCCGTAGCTGAGTGGGCCCTACCCCCTAACCTTGCCCCTATGAGTGGGGGCAGGCAGGAAGAAAAGTCTCTCTGCCCTTATTCAGGATGGAGCAGCCTGAAAGTGGGACTCCAGGCTGGATTTGGTAGGCTGTCAGACATACCAGCCTTGTCTTTTTCCCTCTTAACTCTCTCATCCCCCAAGAGAGGCGGGAGTTTTGCTGAATCTGGAGAAGAGCACTTTGTGGTTGGTTGGATGGAGGCTAAGCTCTGCTGCCCAGTGATGCTGACTATGGGATGTGCACCTCTCTTAAGAGCACTCCTCATTCTCTTGGGAGAGCAGGTGTCTTTCTCTTTCAGCCTGTACTCAGTGTCTGTTATATGTGTTACATGAATTAGCACAGAGGTGTAGATGTGACAGGGCTGCATGGCCAGCACATCTGGCTCAGGTACGCCTGTGTCACTTTCTTGTTGTATGATCTAAGGCAAGTAGTTTCTTTCCATCTCAGAGCCTCTACTCTTCCTCTGTAAGATGCGAAAGCCCTTACGTGATGGACTTGAGTAAGCATTTAACTGGATGGTGTGGGTGAAGCTCTGGGCA